TGTGCGTCCGGAGCCTGTGCTCCACAATGGGAGAGGCCACAACAGTGAGAGGCCCGTGTACTGCAAAAAAAAAAAAAAAAAAAAAGAGTCATGTACCAAAATGTTCATTGCAGCTCTATTTACAATAGCCAGGACATGGAAGCAACCTAAGTGTCCATCAACAGATGAATGGATAAAGAAGATGTGGCACATATATACAATGGAATATTACTCAGCCATAAAAAGAAACAAAATTGAGTTATTTGTAGTGAGGTGGATAGACCTAAAGTCTGTCATACAGAGTGAAGTAAGTCAGAAAGAGAAAAACAAATACCGTATGCTAACACATATATATGGAATCTAAGAAAAAAAAATGTCATGAAGAACCTAGGGGTAAGACAGGAATAAAGACACAGACCTACTAGAGAATGGACTTGAGGATATGAGGAGGGGGAATGGTAAGCTGTGACAAAGTGATAGAGTGGCATGGACATATATACACTACCAAACGTAAAATAGATAGCTAGTGGGAAGCAGCCGCATAGCACAGGGAGATCAGCTAGGTGATTTGTGACCACCTAGATGGGTAGGATAGGGAGGGTGGGAGCGAGGGAGACGCAAGAGGGAAGAGATATGGGAACATATGTATACGTATAACTGATTCACTTTGTTATAAAGCAGAAACTAACACACAATTGTAAAGCAATTATACTCCAATAAAGATGTTAAAAAAAAACCCTAAATATAGAACTACCATATGATTCAATAATTCCACTCCAAGGCATATATCCAGAGAAAACCATAATTGAAAAAGATACATGCATCCCAATGTTCACTGCAGTACTATTTACAATGGCCAAGACATGGAAGCAACCTAAATGTCCATTGACACAGGAGTGGATAAAGAAGATGTGGTACATATATACAATGGAATATTACTCAGCCATTAAAGAAGAACGAAATAATGCCATATGCAGCAACATGGATGGACCTACAGATTGTCATACTGAGTGAATTGAGTCACACAGAGAAAGACAAACATCATATGATATCCCTTATATGTGGAATGTAAAAAAAATGTACAAATGAACTTATTTACAAAACAGAAATAGTCATAGATGTAGAAAACAAACTTGTGGTTACCAGGGGCAAAAAAGGCAGGGAGGGATAAATTGGGAGATTGGGATTGACATATACACCCACTACTATATAAAATAGGTAACTAATAAGGACCTACTGTATAGCACAGGGAACTCTACTCAGTACTCTGTAATGACCTATATAGGAAAATAATCTAAAAAAGAGTGGATATATGTATATGTATAACTGATTCACTTTGCTGTACAGCAGAAAGTAACACAACATTGTAAATCAACTATACTCCAATAAATTTTTTTAAATATTATGAAACAGAAGCCAGCAGCATATTAAAAGACTAATATACCAAGACCAAATGTTATTTTTGTTTTTGTTTTGTTTTTTAGGATTGTAAGGATGCAGCAATTTTAGGAAATCTATTAGCATTGACCACCATACTAATATGTGAATAAAGAAAAATCATAGGGTCATTTTTGTTGATGTTTAAAAGCCAATTAATAAAGCATTCAGTATTTATTCTAGATATCTTAAAAACTCAATAAAATAGAAATAAATATATATTCCTTAACATAATAAAATATATCTCATCCCCAAAGCTAGCACAATGCTTAATAAGGAAACAAATGAAGAATCTCCCATTAAACTAAGAAAAAAGACAGGACTCATTATCACCACTATTATTTAATATTTTCTGGAGATATTAACCAATACAATTAGACAGGAGAAAGAAATCAGAGATATAAAAATAGAAAAGGAAGTAATTATCATTATTTACAAATAATATGATTGCATGACTAGAAAATCCAAGAGAAACAACTGAAAAATTATTTAAAACAATTACAGAATTGAGTAAGAGAAGGTAACTGGGTATGAAATTAATATTTAATCATCAGTTATCTTTCAGGTGTGAAAAACAATGAAGAGTTACAAGATATAATGAATGATATAAATTAAAATGATATAAAGATACAAACAAACATAAAATATGCAATGGGGGCTTCCCTGGTGGCACAGTGGTTGAGAGTCCGCCTGCCGATGCAGGGGACACGGGTTCGTGCCCCGGTCCGGGAAGATCCCACATGCCGCGGAGCGGCTAGGCCCGTGAGCCATGGACGCTGAGCCTGTGCGTCCGGAGCCTGTTGCTCCGCAACGGGAGAAAAAAAGATGCAATGGGAAAGCGATAATATTTTCAGCAGTGACATAAAATATTAAATACTCAGAAATAAGCTTAAGAAATGGACGAGACCTTTATGAAAAAACTTCTAAACATGGCCGAGCTATACACGTATCAAAACACAAGACTTTAAAAACGGTAAGGAATATCATGTTCTTGGATCAAAAAATTCAATGTCACAAAAATTTCAGTTCTAAGTTAAAATATAAATAGAACATAACCCAATTTTAAAAATACCAGTAGGTCTTCTTGTTGGTAGATGGTGGGAAAGGAGAGACCAGATAAGCAGATTATAAAAATTAGATAGAAAATTAAGTTAATAGAAAAATTCTTAAAAAGAGGGGGACTAAATATTAAAATATTCTAAATCTATAAAAATGATTAGACATTTAAAAATATTAACAAATATATAAATTACTATTTTCTAGGAATTAAAATATAAATCTAAAATTTGTCAGGCACATATATAAACAGAATGAATGTACAGAAATAGGCATGCATACACACAGATGTATTGGATATATGACAAAGCATTTCAAGTCAACAGTGAAAAGAAGTTTCACTCAACTAAAGGTACTGGAATGACTGGTAGACAACTTGAAAAATTAAGTTGGTTCTGTACCTCACACCTTACACCAAAATAAATTTCATGAAGACCAAAAAATGTAACGTAAAACATGAAAAAATACGAATACTGGAAGAAACCATGGGAGAATTTTTTCAGTCTTGGGGTGGACATGGTCTGTATACATGTCACATAATTATATGAAAACAAAAAGATTCCTGCAAAACAAAAACTACCATACGGAAAGATGAATGGCAAACTTGAAAAATATTTCTACCTCCTATCACAAAGGACTAATTTTTTGAGTATATAAAGAGCACCTACAAATCAATCTGAAAACACCACCAAAGACATCACCCCAATAGGAAATGGGCAACTTTATGGAAAGGGAAAAACAAATGTCTCTTGAACATGTAAAAATGTGCTTAACCTTGGTCATGATAAGATAAATATAAATTAAAACTACATTAAGGCTATTTTTCACTTCTCAAATTAGCATCATGTTGTTGGCATGGGTATAAGGAAGCATTTCATATGTTGCTGGTGGAAAGGTATGCTGGTGCAACCTCTATGGAGGAAAATATGGCAACATTTCTCAAAATTGCAAATGCATATACCCTTTGACCAGCAATGCCATTTCTAGAGATTCATCATTTGCAAAATGATGTATGTCCAGGGTAGGGTTTGGAAAAGAAAAGATTGGAAATAATCAAAATGCTCACTGATGGAAATCTATGTCAATAAATTCACATAATTATAAATACTGTGCAGCAATTTTTAAAGAGGGAAAGCGCTTTATGTACTGATATGGAATGGTCTCCATGACATACTGGTAAGTGAAAAAAGAAAAATGTAGAACATCATTCGTTGTTGTTATTATTGTTTTTTAAAAAAGGAAAAATAGGGAATTGCTTATATATGCACAGAATATCTGTAGAAGGGTCCACAACAACAAAGCAACATTGGTCAATAATAGATCACTGGGGAGTCGGTGTAGGAAGAAAACTTTTAACTATATACCCCTCTCTACGCTTTGAATTTTAAACCCTGTGGATGTAATTACCTATCCAAAAATCCTATCCCATTGTAGTTTGGTTACAAACTACAAAAGTGCTTAAATATATTTTTAACATCTACACAGAGGATTTTTTTAAATAAAAATATTTATTTTATATACATAGCTCTGCAATTTGCCTTTTTTTGACATGATGGTATATTATGGACATCTGCCTTTAGGCCCATATTTATAGAACTCATTCTTTTTAATATATAATATTCTATTGTGTAAATTAATCAAAATTTATTCAACCATTTCCCTTTTGATGAAAATTCAGGTATTTTCTTGGTTTTGATTTCTGTTCAGTTTGGGTTTTTTGACATGAAAATAATTTTTCTTAGCTAAAATTAGAAGATATAAATATAAAGGTAAAATAATAAAAATATTGGAAGAAAATTATAACCTCAGCCTGAGGGTAACTTACTTAAACAATAAAGGAAACACAAATGACTTAGGAAAGAGAAGTATATTGTATTTAACTACATACAAATGTAAATTTTCCTTACGGAAAAAAAGTCAAGAGACAACGAAGTGAAAGAAACTATTTGTTAAAAAAAAAGAAAAAGTGGCAACAGGTTAATATCTCTAATATAGAGAAAATTCCTAGAAGTTGATTTTTTTAAAAACATGCAAAGAATATGAACAGGCAATTCATAGAAGAGGAAATACTAATGACCAATAAATGTATGAAGAGATCCTCACCCTCACTAGTCATAGTTTTGAAGGCAAAGCAACAGTGAGGTCTAATTTTTCATCCATCAGATTGGCAAAAATGTAAAAGATAATAACCAGTATTGGCAAGTCTATGAAGAAATGTACATTAACTATTCTTGCTGAACATCTGAATCTCAACCATCTTTTTGGAGAGCAATCCAATAACATAGTAGAAAAAAATTTTAATGTTCATATCCTTTAACCGAGCAACCCAACTTAATCTAGGGGGAAAAAATCTGAAAATATAGCCTTTAGTGTCTCCCTATGCCTCTTCTCTCTTTTCCCCTATCTTCTCTCCAGTACACCTCATTTAATTAACTGTGTTACTTCCCAGCCAGCTGACTCTCATGTCCAAGCCCTCCTCCACCTCCATGAGACTCTAGCCAACCGAGGCTACTGCCTGAAGCAGGGGGATGGTCTTGGATCCCTGTAAGGCCTTGTCTAGGAGTTCCCCTTGTGCTTTCAGAAAAGTGAGGCCGAGGACATCAGCAGAGCCAACACCTGCTTCGAGTTCCTGGGGCTCTTGACAACATGCAGCACCTGGCAGAGGCTGCTTTGCCCTGGCCATTCTGCTGGCAATTGTGGAGAACAAGCTTGGTCGTGAGGACAGCCCATCCCGAGATCCCCAGAGCAGAGACAGCCATCAGGGAAAATCCTGAACTCATGAGGGATGGATCCCATGATTTTTTTCTGGTGGGGAAGAAAAGGACCCATTCTTCTTGACACTAATGAAAGAGTGAAAAATATAGTTTCTTTTTCTTTTTTGTTAGAACTAATACTATTGCCCTCCCCACCAGACATTCTGCCTCTGCTATGTGTGGCAAAAAAGCCTGGTAATCTGGCCCTCAGGCTCTTACACACTATAAATGTATGAAATCTAGGTTTGACATCTAGATACTACAATATTTGTCAACTTTAGCAACCCACTTAACCACTCTGTGCCTCAGTTTAACTGTAAAATGGGAACAATAATACCTGTCGCTAGGGTTATACCAAAGATTAGATGTATACAAAAGAAGTTCCAGTTGAAGAGTAGAAATAAAATATAAACCAATTCTGAATTAATGAAGAACTGGGATTGCAGATCTCCCTCAGATACGGGTATAGCCTGTAGGCTACTCTTCTAAGAAGGTGGTATTTAATGTCTATGGAGCAGCCCTCATCTCTGCCTCAACATTTATATGTGAGTGAATTTAGATTACCATGTATACACCCGGCTTCCATGGCTAACACTTCTCTTCCTATTCCAGGATGAATGCACATCCTCAGTTCAACTTCCCAGGAGCGGAAGCAACTGTGTAGCTTAAAAAAGAAGAGGCTGAGGTGGGTATGGTGTTTTTGTGCAAGGACAAGTCTTGAGACTGTTCCCCTGAGACTAGCTTGGAGCAACTGAGACTTAAATAGGATCCTGGGAAAGATGGTATCAGTGAAATATCATCTCAGTTGGTGTTCACCATAAACCAAGCCATGGCATTGGACAGTGAGACCTACCAGTGGTGTGCCAGAAGCCAGAAGCTGGATATCCGCCTTCAGGGCCATTATTTCTCTGTTTGAGTCACAGGTGGTCTCCCGATATCCCCAGTGCCACCAGGTGGGACAGTAAGCAGGGTCAACAGCTAAAGACAGAAGTAGTTATTTCAGGTCCTGGATAGGCAGTCTCCTTGGAGAAGAGTCCTTCCCATTACTCAAATCCTTTTCCATCACTCCCATTGGCAAATGCTGCCTTTCCTCAAAGCATGGATACAAAGGTATCTCATTTTGTCTTTAATTTAAAAAATCCTTCTGAGGTAGCCATCCCATTTTTATTGACACTGAGATTGAATCACAGCAGGAAAAGCAACTTATCCAAAGCCACTCACTGAGCAGTGCCAGTAAAAGCAGAAAGGTCTGGAATTTAGGCCTCCTGATTCCCAATTCAGTCTCTCAGAGATGTGGCTATATTTCTAAATATAGGCACTGAGCCTTCAGGCTGGGAAAGAAAGATGGATAAAATGGATAGTTGTCTTAAAGAGCATTTAGTCATAAGAAACAGAAACCCACTCAAATTGCCATAGATTAAAGGGGGGAAAATAATAAAGAAGTATAGCTAGCCCTCATGAGTTCTGGTTTCTGGAATCAGAAACCAGAAAGCCAAAAGAACCCAAAACAGTCACTGTGTCCTCTCTGGGGCAGCAAGTCCTCCCATCTCTGCATATTTCCTCATTTTGTGCATGCTCCCCTGCTCTGTTACTACTTTGGCACAGCCTAAATATGGCCACTGCAGCCTCAGCTTTATATATATATGACTTCTTCATACTCCTAGACAATGGAGCAAGTCTTCAAAACTGAAAATTATGTTCTACTTAGAATTCTATACCCAATCAAACTACCCATCAAACATGAGGAAAGAATGAAGACACTGTCAGTCACACAGTGACTCAAAAAAAGAAAAAATTGCCTTTCATATGACCTTTCTTAAGGAGCTACCAGAGGATGTGCTTCAGTAAAGCAAGAAAGTGAATTGGTAGAGTGGATAAAATGGGATCCAGGAAACAAGAAATCTAACAGGGGGAGGGGATAAAAGAATTCTAGAATTAAAAAGGGCCAAAAAGGGCAGTTAGTCCTGAAGAAAGCAAAAGATACAGGACTCTGAAACATCTCTAGGGGGTGAAAATGGAATTGACCATTTCTCTGATGGCCCATGATAGATCTGACGAGGGATTAAAGATATGGATATGGAAAACTCTGCCTGTTTAAAAAAAATTAAGGTGATCATCATCTCCAGGGAAAACACTAAATTTTACAAAAGGAAACATAATCATAGCACACAACTTGGCTCTGTAATAAGTAACATTTACAGAATCCAAATTATGTAAAAACTAAAATTTATAATATAATGATTTTTTTGAAAGATGCAAAGAAGGGTAGGGGTTTAAGAGAACCATATCCTCATCTTCTATAACAGAAAATCAATAGACAATGTCTAAACTATCATCAAGAGTGGTAATATTAGCATTTTATGTAGGAATATGGTAAAACACCTCAAAGAGTTGATAGTGGTTGTCTCTGAGAATAAAAAGACACTGCTATTACCTTTTATGAACTTTCAAATACTATCTTTTTGACTTTAAGAAAAATAGATGTAAATTACACCCACCCACCCCCAAATAAAAACCTGTCCCAGAGCCTTTTAACAAATGTGTTCATCATCACCTACGGTTAGTAGTTAATCCAAATTTTCTACTTCAGTCTAGGTTGATTTCTATTTTCTTCCTTGCTTCCTGGTGTCTTCCCATCTGACCTAACTAGCTTAGCGTTCAGCACTTCCATTCTCTTCCTTATCAAACTCTCATCTTTATTGGCTCTGTGACTCTGTCCCACCCTGGTTTTTCTACTTTTCTGGCTGTTCTTTTCTCTCCTTCTCTGCCTGTTTCCTCCTCCACCTCTCAAACATGAAAATTCATTCCTCAAGACTCATTCCCCACTCCTTCAATCTTTTCTCTCTACTACCTCTCCCAATTTCTGATCTACCCTCATGATTTAAATCTGCACCTCCTGGGACTTCCCTGGTGGTCCAGTGGTTAAGACTCCATGCTTCCAATGCAAGGGGCACAGGTCTGACCCTAGTTGGGGAACTAAGATTCTGTATGCCGCGTGGCGCAGCGCCCCCCCCCCCAAATTTAAAAATACAAAATAATAAAGTCTTGGCAACGCCCTGGTGGTCCAGTGGTTAGGACTCAGTGCTTTCACCAATGTGGGCCCAGGTCAAAAAATAAATAAAAAATAAAGTCTTAAAAAAAAGAAAGCAAATCACTCAAAATCAAACCTATCCTCCTGAGACCATATTTCTGTCCATGATTCAGTCAAAACCTTGGTTCCTCCTTTTTTCTCTTCCCCCATCCAGTCAGTTACTAAGTACTACTAGTTCTTTCCCACATTCATTCCTTTCTTTCCAAAGGTGTTTTCCAGGTCTTCATCATCTCACACTTAAAATATTCCAACGGTCTCCTAAGTGGTAAGCCCCAGATCTCAAATCTGCCCATGTTTTACTCATCTTTATACATCCCACACCTACCTCAGAGCCTGGCACTGAGCTATTGCCTAGTAAGTGGTCCATCAACTAGATACTGTCTCTGCCTCTAATCCATACTGCCACCAGACATCTTTCTAAAATGCTGATTTGTACATACCACCCCAGAGTTTTAATGGCTTTTCACTGTCTATGAGACAGTGATTAGTTTAGCCTGGCACTGGAGGCGCTCTATCTCTATAAAATTTCATTCTACTACTTACGTGAATACTCTGTCCCAGTTGATCTCACTAATGGAAACTCCTCTTTCATTCATCTAAACTTATTGATTGCGTATCCCAGACACGGTGCTAAGTCTTGAAGAATAGAATGGGAGTATGACGAAGCTACTGCCCCTTATAATCCAGTATTGATGTTCTCCTAATACACCTTAAGTATTTCTACTTGTGATGGTTCTAAGATAGAAAGCCTTTATCATCCTCTCACCATATTTAAGTATTAGAGTCAGTAAATATGGATACTCACCAAATGTGGAAATAAGGTTCCTTTCCAAAAATGAAACTAATAAGGCCAAACAGGTAACAGATAATATCAATAAGCAATGTCTACCATTTACTGAGTGTTTACTGCGTGCCAGGCATTGTGCTAAGTGATACATTATTTCATTTAATCTTCATGGCCTTTTGAGTTAGGTACTATTCTTGTCCTGTGACAATCAGGCTCAAAGGTAATTTGTGTAAGTTCACTCAGCTAGTAAATAATGGACAAAAATCCATATCTATTACAAAACCCAAGATTTTATATATTTTTAATTAATTTATTTATTTTTGGCTCTGTTGGGTCTTTTTTTTTAACATCTTTATTGGGGTATAATTGCTTTACAATGGTGTGTTAGTTTCTGCTTTATAACAAAGTGAATCAGCTATACATATACATATGTTCCCATATCTCTTCCCTCTTGCATCTTCCTCCCTCCCTCCCTCCCTATCCCACCCCTCCAGGCGGTCACAAAGCACCGAGCTGATATCCCTGTGCTATGCGGCTGCTTCCCACTAGCTACCTACCTTACGTTTGGTAGTGTATATATGTCCATGCCTCTCTCTCGCTTTGTCACAGCTCATCCTTCCCCCTCCCCATATCCTCAAGTCCATTCTCCAGTAGGTCTGTGTCTTTATTCCTGTCTTACCCCTAGGTTCTTCATGACATTTTTTTTTCTTAAATTCCATATATATGTGTTAGCATACGGTATTTGTCTTTCTCTTTCTGACTTACTTCACTCTGTATGACAGACTCTAGGTCTATCCACCTCATTACAAATAGCTCAATTTCATTTCTTTTTATGGCTGAGTGTTGGGTCTTTATTGCTGCACACAGGCTTTCTCTAGTTGCCGCGAGCGGGGCTACTCTTCGTTGCAGTGCGCAGGCTTCTCATTGCAGTGGCTTCTCTTGTTGCGGAGCACAGGCGCGCGGGCTTCAGTAGTTGTGGCACGTGGCGCACGGGCTTAGTTGTTCCGCGGCATGTGGGATCTTCCCGGACCAGGGCTCGAACCCATGTCCCCTGCATTGGCAGGCGGATTCTTAACCACTGCGCCACCAGGGAAGCCCAAAACCCACGATTTTAACTTAGACTAAACTGCTTGACCCACTCCAGAAGATGGTTTTTAAATGAGACTTGGAGACACCCAACTCCAAGGTAACTAAGCTATTTTAGCTGTCTCTCTGGCAAGACTTGAGTTCCTTCAAGGTAGGCCTATTTGCATCCCCACTGTGACACACATAGATTCTATATTTATTTATTGCCACTTATGTACGTCATCATCACCACCCACAAATGTTAAAAAATACTTATGTGGGCAATGGATTATACTGAGAGGTATCCTTGGGGATCATAAAAAAGATGTCCTGAGATTATGCAAAAGGAGGTATTAGTAATTTCCAAAACTCTCTCCTGATCCATTGATTCTCTTCTGAACCAGAGAGTGAACTACACAGTAATGAGATTGAAACAGGACACCCCAAGTTTGGCCACAGTAAAGGTGCTCTCAGTTCAGGCTTCCTGCAAGGAAAGGTCTGGATGATGCTGGTCACCAGCCTAGTGGCCCTTCAAGGTATGTTCAGAAGAGCTTTTAGCACCCCAAGAAATGAGGGTGCTATACCTGTAACATCTTGATTACTCTCCAGAAGGGTGGAAAGGAAGCCCAGAGTGGGACAGGGAAATGCTCCTTAGGCCCTGGCTGTCCACATGAAAACATCACACCAGTATAAGGGCAAAATCGGTCCAAAGGGACTAAAGACTTCTTACTAACTAGGGGATGATAGATGAATCAGACTTTCCATTGGGTAGGAGGTCACACCCATGAGGAAAGAAAGCCTGTGGGAGAGGTAAGCAAATACAAATACCTCTACTTACTGGATGAACAGAGGGCTACAAGTTGAGGCAACAGATGTTTGGCTATAATGTGCTGAGCAAGGCAAGAAACAGACTTGGTCTGGAGGTGGGTTTTAAACAATGCAGCTCTTCAGCAAAGGTTGATGGCCAGATTGAGTATATAAAACCCTTGTAGTTGAGTCCTCTGAGCATCGTTTATCAATGTCAATTAGTTTTCCCTATTAGATAAAAAAGATATTGGAACTTGCAATGACACGTTTGCATAATCAGTAACTGATGCAGGTTTTTGCCTCTCCTTGGCATTCTTAATTCCAAGCCTTATTTAGGCCTTCCTCAATTCAATAACTACCACTGTGCCACCAGAATGTAAGCTCTATACGTGCAGAACCTTTGTCTTGTTTACCCCAACCAAAAACAGTACCAGGCACATAGCAGGCTCTTAATAGATTTGTTTAAAGAATTTGTATGACAGGTTAGGCTTTCCATATGGTGACTCTAACCTCATGCAATGCTTCCAGGTAAATATTCCCCAATTACTCACCAGCAAATGGGTATAAGGAGGTTAAATGTTGCCCCAGTGCATGGGAATTAATACAGGACCTTCTCACTCCAAAATCCATGCTCTCAGTGATTATCTACTACATGCTAAGCACTTTCTCTCTCAACTCCATCACCACTCTCCCCATTCTGAGATTGCTTCCTCCCATTTCCAGAAACAGGACCACCTAACACTCCCTTATTCCAGCCCCTTAACTGCAAACTATCAAAGAAAAACAAAGACCACATCTGTGATCCTTGGCAAGCCCCTGACAAGTGTAAGCCTACTCCAGTTTTCAGGGAGAAACTGGTGAACATCAAGCAGTCTGACCCTTCAGACATAATTCTTTATTGAATCTGAATCTTCTCAATGGTTAGGCTATTTCATTGGCAAAATCAATTTTATTTCTTCATACATATTAAAAACTCTAAAGAGAAAAGGAGATTGGGTCTAGCCATACAACCTACTATTGACTCCCAAGTTATGCGAGAGGAAAAAATCTCTAAGCTCTCTTCCCTTTTCTAGTCAGGTGAGGAGAATGAACTTCTGATAGGTCATTCCTTTTATCACTCTTCCCACCTCAAGACTCAGCAGAATTATGGAAGTGGTAGTGTTCAGCAGTACCAAAGTACACACATTTTCTCAGGACCAGAGAAATCATGCAGGTCAAGTTATCATGCTTACATGTGATAAAATGAGGGAACTTTCCTGGATCTCTATGCCTCCCTCAGCTCATGAAACTAATTGCAATGAGTATCCCTGTCCTATCACTGTGCTAGCCACTCAGTGCTATACATGGAAAACCAACCTTGAACTTGTTGAGTGGCATCTATTTCTTCGATTGTCTTACCTTCCAGCAAGAAGAGATCAAAGGTTGGCTTCTTTCCCACTTGCATCAGGATCAGGCAGATTTCACAAGATCACAACTGCAACTTTAAGCAGTAGACACAACACATACAATACCTCCCCTTCTTTCCTTTTCCATTCCCTCTAGTCATAAGGGCCTATCAAACACTCATCCCAGGATGAATTACATCAGGTATTTTGTTACTATTCTAAGTTTGTAGCATAAAACAAACTTTGCTTTTTCTTTCTACAGCTTTGTAAGCCTTGTGCCAGAAGAAACTTAAAAAAAAAGTTATAGAGGGACTTCCCTGGTGGTCCAATAGTTAAGACTTCGCCTTCCAATGTAGGGGGTGTGGGTTTGATCCTTGGTCAGGGAGCTAAGATCTCACATGCCTCGTGGCCAAAACACGAAAACATAAAACAGAAGCAATATTGTAACAAATTCAATAAAGACTTTAAAAACGGTCCACATCAAAAAAAAAGTCTTAAAAAAGTTACAGCAAGATAAATCTGACTCTCTTTAGCTTGGCATCTTTCACATTACAATATGCATAGAGAAGGAAATAACAGGGCACAGGGGAAGAGATGCTAAATATGCCAGGAATCTGGAGAACACAAGATGGGCAAATGAATGTGTTCCCTGACCTCCCCTCCTCACTGCCAGAGCAAACCTAACTTTCTTCCTACCTCAGTCACCAGTAAATAAAAAAGCAGCTCTCACAAAAGCAGCTGGTGTACAGTTCTCACTCAAATATTGGATAAGTGTGTTTTTGTACCCAAGAAGAACTTTTCCTCCCTCCCCTCCAACAAAGTAAAATAAACAAGTGAGTCAAATAAAATGAGAACACCAATGTTTTTGGAAGAAATTTTTATTTGACACTGTTAAGGGAAGAGAGAGGAAACAAGCAAAGACAGGTAGGATAGGAGAGGAAGGGCACCAGACCCAGTAACTGACTTGGCAGAAAATGAGGAAACGAAGAGACCCTGGTGTTGAATGGCATCCACATAGCAGTGCTGGAGGAAGAGGAAGATTTGTGCAGACCAGGTGCTCCACAGATCTTAACTGTCTAGCTTCAACTAAGTACTTGTCAATCTCTCTGGTCATTTCTCTCTTTTTTTTTAAGTAAATGTCAAAGCAATTATCTGCAGCCTTTTCTTTTCTCTCTAAATTCATAAATCCTCTTGTCTCTTTGGACAGATAACCTCTTGTCTTAGTTAAGCAGAGAGGCGGGGGCAGGATATTCCTGCTAGGAGGAACTACATGAATAAAGAGGTAGAAACACAATTTAACTGGGGCTAAATGGCAAGCCATCAAAGGGAAACAGACACCTTACCTGTGATCCTTGGCCAGGACCTGACAAATGGGGGAGCTAAGGTTTGTGGGACCAGAGAGACAGAAGGCTGAAAGAGATGGGTAAGACCCTTGTTAGTGACGGCCTTGAACCTCAAACTAAGGATTTTGGATTTTGTGTCTTATGGAGGTAGAAAGCTAGGCATGGAGTCAGAAGATCTGGATTTAAATTCTGACCCTGCAACGTACCAGCTACATGTCCTTGGGCAAATGAAGTTTTGAGATGCTACTTATCTGTAAAATGCGGTATTTCCTACTCTATCTTCTGTTTCCACAGGACTGCTCTGAGAATCAAATGAGATTCTGGATTTTAAACCCAGAACCACTTGAATTCTGACTCAGAAGTCTCCAAAGCTTTCTCCACTGTACTACACTCACTTTAATCTTTACCTGTTTTATGTGTTAGTTTTGTTTTTCTAACTAAATTTTAAGCTCACATGAGTAGAGATGTCTTTTACTTTTCACTATTCAAAGACTCTTCTGAAACCACTCAATATTATACAATCACTGGAAGTCTCACACAGAAGCCACGTCTAACTACAGAAAAGGTTTTATCCATTGTGCTATTATGCTAATTATAGTCTACATAAAAAATCTGCAGAAAGGACACATGATTGCTGGCCAAGTTTATCAAGACATTCAAGAGCATTAGACTACTAGCTCTGACTTGAACTAAGCAGAATAAACAAAGCAACAGCAAGTCAAGGGTCCCACTTCTAAAGAATTTATTTTATTTATTCTGCTTATCTCAAGATGGTTAAACAAAAATTTGAAATACTTATATCTCGGCTTTCAAAGTGTATTGATACCACTCCTTTCAAATAAGTCTATAAATTTCCATGCATGAATAGGTAGACTTCTGGACACACATCTTAACCTCAATCTATATGAGTGATTCACAACCCAAGGAATTTGAACCTCTGTGAGGCCATGTAGTTATTTTAAGAGGTCTATGTAAGCATTATCTTCAGTCTGAATAAATAATATATCTTACAAATATGTATATACTGTACTTCAACTGGATATAGATTCTGGTGTGACTAATAAAGACAAACTGATTTAAAAGCATTACTAAAATCATAGCAGCTTTTTGCTATGTGTTTTTTTCATCAAAAGATACTAAAAACACAACTATAATCTTGTTGGGAGCGAGTCTAATAATTTGGGGACCTTAAAAATGGTATATCTTATTAGAAAAGGTAAAGAACGACAAGCCTACATCTCATGATTTACAGATATAAATGTTTCAGGTGAAAGAGGAAAGGCAACATATAGACTCCACTTCTGTGGACACCATCTAAGTATAATCTGGCAAAACACAAAGTTTATATGTATAAAATTAGAGAGTTGAGTGCCTGTAATTCCACTTATCTGGCAGGTATGAGAGATCAAAACCTCTTAATGTCCATTAGCTAAGACATTTTGATCCTGTCTCGATCCTGGAAAAGATCTCCAGTTGTACTCATTGTATTCTACACATTCCATTTTAAACCCATGGCGCAGACCTGGGGTTCCCAGCCTGAGTGCTGAGATGCTGACATTACTGCAAGCTGTAATTTCCCACTGTAGGATAAACACCTGTGATATGTTTACCCCACCAAATCTTTCCCCGAACTCCCTACATCAGAACTTATGTTAGATTCATTTTGGAAACTCTCAGTAGGAGTACTCTCTCCTGCTAGTCCCCCCGCAAACTCCCAAATCTCCACTGGTTTATTCTTGTAAACAGCACCTTTATCTTCCCACCTCTCTACCACAGAGACAAAAGAGGGATATTCCCTAACATCCAAATATTTATTCACCAGCCCTGTTCCTTCTCCTCCTAAAAATCTGTTTTCCTTCACAGATGTCAGTGGCCTGCCTAGATGAGCTCTAAGAACCAACTCTGAGGTACCCTTCACCTCCCAAAACCCCAGGGGTTGTTTTGTTGTTGTTTAAAACAGACAAACTATGATCCCCTCCTGATTAGTTTTTGTTAAGTCTGATATATCTGTATTCCTTGAGGAAATAGGACTTGGACACCAGGAAGAACGAAACTGAAGCTTGCAGAAGTTCATGTGAGAAGTCAAGTTGTCATCAATAACTTATCAAGAAAATTTTTTGAAAGCAATAGATAACTGTGTCTTAGTTCAATTAATTATAATACAGAAACAAGAGATGACCAACACCCTTTCCTCAAAGCCATTTATCCTCAACCTTCAGAAATGACCAGACTTTTAGCTCCAGTGAATCCATTTGCCACACCACATAACGGGGTGCCTGCCCAAGCTAACAGTGCCCTATAACAGAGAACTACAGAAACACATGGGCCTGAGGCACATGCAATGAGAGAATCAGACTAAAGCTCCAGTCCTCTGCTGTACCCCTGCTCACTTTATCTACTTCGGTGCCCACCATATCCCTTCTTCCTCTAGAGTGAAATGTGCATATATGCATATGTCTATGAATATACATATACACACACACACACACACACGCATATATACAAATGTGCAATACAAAGACATAAACAAGGAATTTTTCTCCTAATAACTATTTAATCCAACTGAGACTTGTTGCGGGGGGAAGAAACAAATTCTTGCCCCCAAATCCTCCTTCCAACTTGAGAACTAACTATTGGACCAGAAGAGTACTGCTCAAGGAAAACATTTAACAAGCACTTGGTCAACTGTTATGCAGCAAATATTGACAACTAAGGAAGCTATCTGGATACTTCAGGTTTCCCAACTCTTCAGAGAACTGGCAATAGGAAATTTGCAGGAAAATTAATTTTTAATACAAGGATTATTCCTTCTCTCTGTTGGAGATATCGGTTAAATGTTCACCACTCTGCCCTGCCCACCCTACTGCCCAGTTCTGTCCAGCCAGAATAACCCATCTGGAAACTACCCATGAAGCAATAATCACTTGGAGGCCAGCAAGGAATTGCCCTACATAACCTCTCAACTTTCAGGTCTACCAACCTCTAGCAAGTCCCTCCTAATTTTGTGCTAACATAGTTTTACTTCCTCTTTTATTTCAAATTACAATGAACGAAAGGAAGAATAAGAAAAAAAGACATTCATGAATGGGAAAACAATCTGTTTATCTATGCATGGAACTCAAAGGGTAGGCCATTTAGTACAAATCTAAAGGCCTCAAGTCTAAGGGCCCAAGATTTGAAATGGCAACTTTTTTCTATTCTCTTTGATAATGAGGGAAAGCTGAATCATCTCTCCCTTGACTCCTAGTAAGGCTCCAGTTTCCTGAGTCTGTAAGCCTTGGGAACTATATCAAACTGTGTTTGGCTCCATAATCATGTGAGCCAATTCCTTATAATAAATCTACACACACACACACACACACACACACACACACCCCTTACTGGTTCTGTTTCTCTGGAGAACCCTGACTAATACACTACCTAAATTAACCTGGAAGTCTGAGATGCCTCCTATTCTAGGAAGAAACACTACAGATTCATTAAGTAGCAGGGGTCTCAGAAACAGCAAACAGATTTATGCACTCTATCTAAAAGCACAAAAAAAAGTGAAGAAAATTTCAGATAACTTAAGACTGATGCGATTTGCTCTTCCGTATATTGAAAAGTTAAATCCCTGTCCAGCACTTTGTTTGCATCCTTTTGTAAAGCTACTCAGATTCTTTCTAGTTCTCTAGTGTTAAGTAAAAATACACCTGCCTGTTCTGGCATCTCCAGACACTAACAAGCAGACAAAAACTTCCAGGCTGGCATCATTTTTCTGAGACAGTTGATATTGTTCCACTTGAAAACTACAATGTGCTCCAACTTCAGCCTAGCCATTCTCCATCTAAGTAATGGCCATTAAATATTCACAATATACCTCCCATGTCCCCTCAGCCTCATCACCCCTCACCATTCAAAACCAGTGTGTATTTCTGGGCTACATTTCAATAGCCATAGTAAATAGTTCACATTCTCCAAAGAAACAATCTCTACATAGGATAACATAAATATGAGAAAACATCTTTTATTCTCTCTGGGCCCAACCTGAATCATAACTTATGGTCACAATTTTTAGAGGTAGGCTATTAAATTAAACTCTCCCACTTTCTCTCTTCCCTCTCCTACTCCTCTGTCCTCTACTAAATTACAAAGATATCTCTAACCCCATCCCTCACCCCCAAAACCAGTGTACAACAAGTCAACAAAAACCGAGGAAAGACTCCTAGCCAAGAGAGACTCACCAAAGAGCAGCCTTCTTGTTCTGATCATTCCAAACTATGAAGGGCTGATATGACCATACCACTGTTGCCCCTCTGTCACCCTTTTTGGTGCACCAACAGTGGTTACATGTCCCCATCATTTATTTTTGAGACTTTGAAGTTCCAACAACATTCTTAATCTTCTTCATTTATTCAACTTTAAACACTTAAATGCGCCAAAGAGCATGTGCATGTGCATGGGACACTGTTAGGCTGAAAAAAGAAGGCCTACATCTCCTAGGCCAAGTTGTTTGGGCATGATCACAATAATCAGTATGACTCCAAGTACAGACAGAACCAAGCAAACAGAAAGGTTTCAGAGATGATAAATGGGCTTAAAAAATTAAAATGGGACAACATAAAATCTCAATTCCTGAAGACCAGTGAATTACAAAAAACAATGACTTAGCTGTAGAAGCAGTAATGAAGTAATTCTATTTCTGTGAGGGAAATTATTTTAAGGTCCCCAGGATAAACAATGAGTTGAGGATCACTAAAAAACCTCGGAACCAAAGATTTCAAACATCTGTCCTTCTGTGCCTGTATGCTGCCCAACTCATTCCCAAAAAGGAACCAGAATCAGATTCCTCCCAACATAAGACTCCTAAGACATGTCAGGTTGGTTTCTGCAGAAGCTGCATCTTGTGAAGTAGTCTTTAAAAATAAAAATGAGAAAACCAAAGAATACAATGATAAGCCACTTTCTCCTTCCCACTGTAATTTTTCTTTGATTTGCTCTCTGAAAATTTAAGAAAAAACAAGAATCATTAGTGTCTCAGATTCTTGAATTAATCTGATCTCACTTCATGGCTAATGTGGCCAGAAGTAGATGCTTTTGTACAACTAAAACAGAAGGACTTTATATCAGCAGGACTTTAGGGCTCTGGTTCCACTGTATTTAGTGTAAAGTACACTTATGATAGGGTGGAGGCTGGAGAAAGAGGTGGAAACATCCATCACAAGGTAACATGACAGATAGCAGGACCCTAGCTAGACTTTAAGGAACTGATTCTATTCTGGCAGGGGAAACCCACATAATTAAGTTTCGCACTTACAAAATTATCGCTCTGAATTCAAGAATGAGAGGCATTTCGTTGTAGATACAATTCCATCTGTAGATACTAACTTTAAATTTAGAGAAGAAAAACACTCAATGAATTAATGTTATGGGTTGGGGTTTCTTAGGTGATTCCTAAATTCACCTACGACTTTTTTGTTTTGATACAATTAACAGCTGTGATAAGAGGTCTACCATAGCCCTGGCTCAGAGGCGGTCTTTAGTTTCAGAAAGTCCATCGGTCATGTAGCTGGCTGTCACTGCTAAATCTGTTGCTTGCAGAGGACCCAGAGGTCTGGGTTTGCTGAGTAGAGTCCTCACCATTTAAGCTCTTCCTACATACAGGACATGCGTCGTGCTGAAACAGAAAGATATCAGTCTACATGAACAGCCTGACCCGAAAGCTGGAAGAACTAAACACTTAAGAAACCCTGAGAGTTAGCAGGTAGAAAAACCAAAAGGGCATGAATTCTCACATAGTGCACGCTGGGCTCCATGTGTAACACCAGGATATCGCCCAAACAGAATTTCAACAGAACTGACAGAGAATTCTAGGCAGCAACTTAACAATAGCTAACACATATCACCAAGCAGAACTAACTAGAAACAATGACCTGAGATGGTCCAGAGCAGGGGTCAGCAAACTTTTCCTGTAAAGGAAAAGGTAGTAAATATTTCAGTCATTGCAGGCCACACCACCTATGTTGCAACTACTCAGCTCTGCTGATGTAGCACCAAAGTAGCCATAGACAATTTGTAAACAAATGGGCAAGGCTGTGTTCCAATAAAACTGCATTTACAAAAATAGGTGGCAGGACACAGGGACCTGCAGGCTGTAGTCTGCTAACCCCTGGTCAGAGAAGTTCCAAACAGATTAATAATCTAAAACACAGGAATGGTGCTACTAGGAGTTAGCCAGGGACTAAAATCTGATCTGCCTGGCTCTCTATTAACTGTTTGTTTTTTTTGTTTGTTTTTTAAAAAATTTTTATTGGAGTATAGTTGCTTTACAATGTTATGTTAGTTTCTACCGTACAGCAAAGTGAATCAGCTACACGTATACATATATCTCCTTTTTTGGATTTCCTTCACGTTTAGGTCACCGCAGAGCACCGAAGAGAGTTCCCTGTGCTATACAGTAGGCTCTCATTAGTTATCTATTTTATACATAGTATCAATAGTGTATACATGTCAATCCCAATCTACCAATTCATCCCACCCCTCCCTTTCCCCCTTGGTATCCTTACATTTGTTCTCTGCGTCTGTGCCTCTATTTTTGCTTTGTAAATAAGATCGTCTATACCAATTTTTTCAGATTCCACATATATGCATTAATACACGATATTTGTTTTTCTCTTTCTGACTTACTTCACTCTGTGTGACAGACTCTATGCCATCTGTACAAATGACCCAATTTCGTTCCTTTTTATTGCTGAGTAATATTCCATTGTATATATGTACCAATTAACTGTTAACTACATCCTTACTGTGAACCATCCCCCCAAGAAGATATGACTGGCACAGTTGCCCCATCACAAGTGAGAGCTGTCTGTACTTACCAGTTCTAACCACGGCACAATACAACTGCTGTGAAAGAAGTGGTTGCAGGGTAACTGCCGGACTTCCTCTTCAACTGTGTAATCCTCTTTGCATACTGGACACTCTAAACCCTTATCTGTTGGAGGAGGAAACGCCTTTTAAAATAAACAAGCAAAAAGAAGGAAGAAAAAAACTAGCCCAATGTCTTTAACAGCCAAAGGAATACACAAAGTAAAGACAAAGTGCACCCAAGGTGAAGGCAGATAGGAAGCATGAATTTTATTTCAAACTGGGGATAGAGGTGGTAGTAGACAGGGTTATGAGAAGGAGGACTGATTAATGGGCCTGTTCCAATAAGGCCCAGACAGGAACTATATAAGGCCTACTTTTCAATGTAAAGAGTTGGAAGAACTGGGGCTTAGATTATCTTTTAAGTGAAACAGGAAAAACATCTTCCCAAGTGTGTGAAAGCCTTCTGGCAGTTTCTACTTAGGAAACACTGGCAATCTGTCCACCACAACCAAAGAACTCATCTCGGCAATCTTGGCTGCTCCCATTCAGTGTCTCAAGCCACTTTTACCCTACTACTTTCTAAATTACACATCCTATTTCATCATGGTTACCCTAAAGCCTCTTTTACAAGCTGTTCATTAAAAGCTGTACCAGGAGATAGTGCTACAGAACTGCAAGGCCCAAGGGTAGCTCAGGCTCTAAGTCCAGAGACAGGAAGCCCTCTTCTCAGAGAAAATGGCTACAAACTGAACAGGGGATACCAGGCAGTAAATTCCAAGTTTCCCAAGTTTGGCTAGTAATACCAGCTAGTCTATCTCTTCAGTAGCTGGGCTATGTATGTTACATGCTCCACAGTACTCAAGGCATTTGGAGTAAAATACCACTTAACAGATTCACTCCTTCCTCTCCATTCCCATCACCTGAGCCCTAATTTTAGCTTCTACTTCTCATGCCTACTCTACTGTAACAGCCTCCCATGTAGCATCCCTGACTCCAGGCCTTCCAGATATATCCTATATTTTGCTACCAGCTAATTTTCCCTAATATCAGCTTCAGAGCAATTCCCAGCTCATCTTCACTTGGATTCTCAGCTGGTACCTCAAAATCAACAAATTCAAAATTAAAAACATCACATCACCTCCTTACCCAAACCAGGGCCGGCTCACAATTCCCCCATCCCTGATGTCAGCACCACCTCTGTGGTTATAGAGTTGCAAAATCTTAGAATCATCTTTCACCCTTTCCCCTCCTTTATCCCATTATGCAATCAGTGCTAAAAGGCTTTCTTCGATCTGAGTCTACCCCTTCCTTTCTGTTAGCATTGCCACCGTCACCTGAACCCCATCAGGATGCTGCAACAGCCCCTTAAATCTCTGTTTCTGCTTCCTTCCTCTTTCAATTTTTTTTTTTTAATGATTGCTTTTTAAATGTATTTATTTATCTACTTTTGGCTGTGTTGGGTCTTTGTTGCTGCACGTGGGCTTTCTCTAGTTGCATTGAGTGGGGGCTACTCTTTGCTGCAATTCGTGGGCTTGTCACTGCGGTGTCTTCTACTGTTGCAGAGCACGGGCTCTAGGCACAGGCTTCAGTAGTTGCAGCATGCGGGCTCAGTAGTTGTGGCTCACAGGCTCTAGAGTGCAGGCTAAGTAGTTGTGGCTCACGGGCTCTAGAGTGCAGGCTCAGTAGTTGTGGCACACGGGCTTAGTTGTTCCACGGCATGTGGGATCTTCCCAGACCAGGGCTCGAACCTGTGGTCCCCTGCACTGGCAGGTGGATTCTTAACCGCTGCGCCACCAGGGAAGTCCCTTCCCATCTATTTTAGACACTACCCTCCAAACTAATCTTCCCTAAAGACCACTTAAATTCCCTCATTCCTCCATTTATGGACCTACAAAACTTACCTACTACCTAAACTATCCAGCCCTAACTACTCTGCCAGTTTCAGGGTCCTCTACAACAAGGCCGCACCCTTCCTATCCAGTCATACCTCTCACTACTCCCCAAATCAGATTCTATTTCAGGTCTAATGAGGTTACACTCCTTATACCTGATCCAGACACCATGTCCATGCTGACATTCTTCACTGGTTCATACTTTTCCATATATAGAATAATCTCTCTAATATGGCCCATCCTGTCTTTAAAATCTTCTGACTCTAAACTGGAATTTATGGGGAAAGAAACTCCAGTCCAAAATAATGTCCCTTATCACTAAGTTCTTTTAGTGCTTATAAATAAAATAATGTCTATGTCTAATGTACCTGAGTACAGGGTAGATGTGAAACAAATGCCTAGCCTCCCATTTTTTTCTCTTCCTTTTCTCCCAAAGTCAGTATCATCTGCTCAACCACTTTTTATACTATTGTCTAATCATTTGGTAAGTTTTGTTTCCCCTGGTAAGTTCTTCAAGAAATCAAGTCTTCTATATCTTTGTACCTCTTTATTTCCTGCCTGGCATCTAGAAAACCAACATGGTAATTGCTCAGGAATTACCTGTTGACTAACCCTAATGAAGGGGTAGGTACTTTCCATACCTGGCACCCAGGTATAAATGTTAGGAGTGCTACAGCTTCACTTGAAGATCTTTAGTACAGGAAATGGCTCAGATTCTGAACAGAGATAACAAGATGACAAAATACGTATGAAAATGAACCTACCAACTTGTTCCTGAGTTACTGTCACTGTTGGAAGAGATGTGATCTTTTCCTTATCAGCTGGGGGAGGCCCTGTGTTTTCCAGTTGTCCTAAAAGCTACAAAAAAAGAAAAAAGAAAAAGAAGAAGTGGTAGACATCTAACTATCCGTAGGGGGGGAGCTGTTCCAGCTGAGAACAGTGCAGATATTAAAAATGTTAGTTGCTCTTACTTCTGCAAGGCTATGAGAGGCTTGGGTTTTCCCTTTCCTGCTGCCAGAACACTCATGATTGCTTTACAATTTCAGAGTGACATTAGTATAAGCCCACAGACAGATCCATCATTGCAGGGCCCACCTCTGGGCATAAAGCAACTTCGGAGACAGCAAAAGGGCTGTGATGTCACGAATAAAACTACAGCGTAACAAAACGTAATACTTAACCAGTTCAAAAACTTCATTTTGCTGAAAGGAAGAGAAGGGTCTGAGTATGGAAAATAGCACAAAGTAAGCCAAGAAATAGGTAAATTACTGCCTACAAGAAGACTTAGATATAAACAACATGCTTTCTATTCTCAGCAATCCACAAGGGAAATGAAAAACCAATTAAATTAAAATAAACATAAACAAGTGGAAGCAATTATACATAGCATGGGAATACCTTTTTCTCTGCTTCCTTCCCCTACTTTGTTCCATCTAGCAGAAATTCCTGCTTCAACATATGAGGAGACCCTTCTTTTTTGTGAAGTACTTGTTAATAGGATCCTCATAGGACTGAACAAGAGGCCAAAAATATAAAATATTGTTTGTTACAGAAGTCTTTTCTTCTTTTGGAGTTGAAGCTATCTTCTAGAAAGTCCCTAGGACCAAGAAAGTACATGGATGCTGAGCTAAACCCATAAACCATCTATTCCTTTAGTAAAATGGAAACCCACAAGCTCAAACTATTAGGGAAAGCAGAGTGACTGCCGTTTCAGAAAGTAGCAGAAGGAAAGCAGGAAGCCTGTGGAACCATGAGACACACTGAACAGACACCCTCAAAAGGCAGCTCCTCACCTGAGTTACAATGGCATCAAGCCCTGTCTGACCCCAGGCATAGTCCCCAGGGTTGGAGTGCAGCATCCCGCTCCTATACATGAGATGAGACACAGAGCATTAGATGGAGTGACCAGGCTCCGCCTTACACCACAGAAAGATTGGCAGAGGAATCCTGTTCTCTCTCAGAGCTGGAAAGTCACCAGTTCTCTAGAATCAAGTGGCAAAGAATTTCTCAATAATTTCAAGGTCAAACAGATTATCCAGAGGCAGTCTCTCATTCTCTAGGAATTTTTGCTTAACTGTATACAACATAAAATGTGAAGCTACCTAAAATACCACATGACAAACCAGAGCAAAAAGAGTGACTCATTGCCTGTTGGTTAAGAAAAGTTTGTCTTCTCTGTGCCCATTTAACTTAAACATAGATGGAGCTGCTTTTTAAGGAGAGTTTTCCCTTCGTGATCAGCGAAAATCAACAGCAGACTTCCCTCATTCTAAGACTCGGACTTTGGTCCTGGACAATGAGGAGCTTTCACGTAGAGAAGCAGCCACAGCAGTGTCTCTGAATCACAACTTAGAGGAATCACAAAAGGGACTTGGCAGCACCTCTTTCTGGAGCTGTTGGTGTACTAGCCTGGATGACAGATATCCAGACTCTGGCTGGAACACGTTTAAAGAAACTAGAGGCTGGAAAATAGGGTAACTGTGTGGAAGGACTGAGGTCCCTTTGAGCAAAGAAGCCTTCTGGGGCAGAGTCAGAAATGGCAAATAACTGTCCAGACAAGAGGAAATTCCATCCTTAACCCGTACCGTACATGTCACTCTGATACTCTTATTTCTTCTGAAAAACCTTCTTACTTAAAAAAAAAGGAAGTTAAGCAGTATCTTTCCAATTTCAGAAATTCTTAAGGAATAAAATCTTCCCATATGATCTACAGGAGAAACACACAAATCAGATACCAAGCCTGGTAGGGACCATCTCATTCCCCACCTCAACACAACCCTCACACCTGAATATGAATGGAATCAGACACACCCAGTACCCAGACATCCTGTGGGACCAGGATAGCCCTCATGAGCCTGAATTATAATGAATAAGTTCTGATTAAGTTTGGGCTCAGCAGACAATGGCAGTCTTTAACAGCCTGCCAATTACACCTATATACTCACCTATGCAGCTCTTTCTTTCTCACTATGGCACAGATACTACCATACCTAAAATGATGCTACTGCAGGAGAGTAAGACAGAAGGCAATTAATTACTTACCAAGAAAATGGGGATCCAGGAATGAATCCTGCAATGATTTGTTGTAGTACTCTGTTGAAGGGAAAAAATTAGATAAGAGAACAGACTAATGAAAGTACTCTATAGATATCCATGGCTGACTAATCACCAACTCCTTCCCCAAAACACAATGGCTTTTCACTGACTATTATACAATAGAGAGCACCAGAAATCAGTCCACTACATGGTAGAGTGCTACTCTGCTATTATGGCTGTCTTCCTGAGCTCTGCTACTTTATGTATTAATAGATTTTTATGAATTAAGCTGGAAAGGAATCTGATTGTATGGTTAGTTTTCAAACTATGATTCTTGGATACTTGGCAGCAAAATGAGAGGCTGAAAGGGATGCTAAGCCAGAGAGATTCTGGACCCACCTCCCTACAACAAGGGTAGTTCCATTTTTATGTGTTATGCACATTGTGCAAGATACTATTTTAAGGGCCCTTTTGTAAAAGTTCAACAATAGCTAACTATACTATGTGTTTGTTTTAAAATATATTCACAAGTTATTTTATACTCCTCCTCTGGGTGTAGGTTGGACTTAATGACTTACTTTTTTTTTCCCTGAGGTATAACTGACATATAACATTATATGATTTTTTTTCAGGTGTACAACACAATGATTTGATGTTTGTATATAATGCAAAGGATCACCACAATAAGACTAATTAGCATTCATTACCACACATAGTTATAAAATTTTACTTTCTTGTGATGAGAACTTTTAAGATCTACTCTCTTAGCAACTTTCAAATATGCAATACAGTATTAAAATGATAATACTGTAATGAACTATAGTATCTCATTGTGGGTTTGATTTGCCTTTCCCTGATGATAGAGTCACCGTGCTATACATTATATCCCCATTATTTATTTTATAACTGAAAATTTGTCCCTTTTGACCCCTTTCACCCATTTCACCCACCCCCCAACCCCTGCCTCTGGCAATTCACCAATCTATTCTCTATATCTGTGAACTCAGTTACTGAATTCTTTTTTTTAGATTCCACATATAAGATCATACAGTATTTGTCTTTCTCTTTGTCTCATCTATTTCACTTAGCATAATGCCCTCAAGGTCCATCCACGTTGTTGCAAATGGCAAGATTTCATTCTTTTTCACGGCTGAATAACATTCCACTGTATATATGTACCACAATTTCTTCACCCATTCATCCATCAGTGGACCCTTAGGTTGTTTCCATGTCTTGGCTATGGTAAACAATGCTGCAATGAACAGGGGGATGCATATATCTTTTCAAATTTGTGTTTTTGTTTTCTTCAGATGAATACCCAGAAGTGGAATTGCTGGATCACAAGGTAGTTCTATTTTTAATTTTTTGAGGAACCTCCATATTGTTTTCCATAGTGGCTACACCAATTTACATTCCTACCAACAGTGAACAAGGGTTTCATTTCCTTTTCTCCACATCCTTATCAACACTTGTTATTTCTTGCTTTTTGATAATAGCCATTCTAACAGGTATGAGGTGATATCTCATTGTGGTTTTGATTTATATTTCTCTGATATTAGTGATGTTGAGCATTTATTCATGTGCCTGTTGGCCAACTGTAATGTCTTCTTTGGAAAAATGTCTATTCAAGTCCTCTGCACATTTTTAAATTGGGTTGTTTGTTTTTGTTGCTGTTGAGTTGCATGAGTTCTTTGTATATTTTGGATATTAACTGCTTGTTGGATACAGCATTTGCAAATATCTCCTCCCATTCAGTAGGTTTCCTTTTCATTTTGATTTCCTTTGCCATGCAGAAACTTTTTATGGTTTGATGTAGTCCCACTTGTTCATTTTTACTTTTGTTGCCTCTGCTTTTGGAGTCATCCAAAAAAATCATGACCAAGACTGATGTCTTAGAGTTTACTGCCTGTTTTCTTATAGGGATTTTATGGTTTCAGGTCTTATGTTCAAGTCTTTAATCCATTTTGAGTTAATTTTTGTGTATACTGTAAGACAGTGGTCCAGTTTCATTCTTTTGCCTGTGGCTGTCCAGTTTTCCCAACACCGTTTATTAAAGAGACTGTCCTTTCTCCACTGTATAATCTTGGCTCCTTTGTCATAAATTAATTGACCATATATGCAAAGGTTTATTTCTGGACCCTCTATTCTATTCCATTGATTTAGGTGTCTGTTTTTATGCCAGTACCATACTGTGACTTACTTCTTAACAATAGAATATGGTGGGATAACTGTGACTTCCAAGGCTAGTTCATAAAAGGCACTGTGGCTTCCTCCTTGCAGCCTCTCTTGGATTACTTTCTCTGGGACAGTGCCATATCAAGCAGTCCTGTGCAAAGGCCCACATGGTAAAGAACTGAGGCCTCCTGACAAGAGCCAGAACAAACCTGCCAGACGTTGAGTAACTCCCAGTTGATTCTTCAGATAACTACAGCAATGGCCAATGTCTTGACTGTAAGCTCATGAGACCCTGGGCCAGAGCCACCCAGCTAAGCTGCTCCCAAATTCCTGGCCCACTGAACCTATGAGATAATAAATATCTGTTGTTTAAGCCTCTAAGTTCTGGGGTAATTTGTTATACAGCAATAGATAACTAATACAGATTTTGATACCTAGAAGTGAGTACTGCTGTAACAAAAACCTAAAATGTGGGAGTAGCTTTGGAACACAGCAGAGGGCAGAGTTGGAAGGACTTTGAGGACAGAGTGAGTAAAAGTTTGAAGAGCCTTTAAGAAATTGTAGAAGCATGATGGCGTTTGAGGAAGTTATAGGTGAGTACTTAAGGGAAAGTGAGAAAAATCTTTTTGGAAATGGGAGGGAAAGGGATCCTTGTTATGTAGTGACAAAAGCTGTTGCCTGACATAACATGGAAAGTAGAAGTTGTGGCTCATGAATGGGGTGATAATGTAGCTAACAAGATTTCCAGAGTGTTGAAGGTTCCTTTTGACTTCTTCTTGCTGCATTAAAATGCAAGAGAAGGGCTTCCCTGGTGGCGCAGTGGTTGAGAGTCCGCCTGCCGACGCAGGGGACACGGGTTCGTGCCCCGGTCTGGGAAGATCCCACATGCCGCGGAGCGGCTAGGCCCGTGAGCCATGGCTGCTGAGCCTGTGCGTCCGGAGCCTGTGCTCCACAACGGGAGAGGCCACAACAGTGAGAGGCCCGCGTACCACTAAAAACAAATAAAAAACATTTTAAAATGCAAGAGAAGAGGAATAAATTAAAGGAAGAATAGTTAAAAAGGAGTTAAGACTAGATAATTCTGAAAATTCCTGGCCTCTCCAGATGGCAAATGATACTAAAATTAAGAAACGGCTTTAAAAAAAAAGAAATGGTTTCTGAGCAAAGATCAAATCATGGGCATTGCCAAGAAAATGGTTAAAGAGGAAGCCAAGAGTGTGGCTATAAAAATTCTTTGTTAAGACCTCAGAAAGAGGGGTTTCCCTGGTGGCGCAGTGGTTGAGAATCCGCCTGCCAATGCAGGGAACACGGGTTCGATCCCTGGTCCGGGAAGATCCACATGCCGCGGAGCAACTAAGCCTGTGCGCCACAACCACTGAGCCTGTGCTCTAGAGACCGCAAGCCACAACTACTGAGCCCACACGCCACGACTACTGAAGCCCGTGTGCCTAGAGCCTGTGCTCCGCAACAAGAGAAGCCACTGCACTGAGAAGCCTGCACACGGCAACGAAGAGTAGCCCCCACTTGCCGCAACTAGAGAAAGCCCGTGCGCAGCAACGAAGACCCAATGCAGCCAAAAATAAATAAATTTAAAAAAAAAAGAAAAGACCTCAGAAAGTTCACATAGTGCCTAGAGAGCTATTCAATTAAACAACTGAGCTTCTAAGAAGCTTAAATGTGTTGTATTAGTTTCCTAGGGCTGCCGTAACAAATTCCCACAAACTGGGTAGCTTAAAACAACAGGAATTTATTCTCTCACAGTTTTGGAAGTCAGAAATCTGAAACTGAGATGCTGTTAGGGTTAGTTTCTTCTGGAGTCTCTAAGAGAGAATCTATTCCATGCCTCTCTCCCAGCTTCTGGTGGTTTCCAGCAATCCTTGCTGTTTCTTAGCTTGGAGACACATTATTCCAATCTCTGCCTCGGTCGTCAAACGACTTTCTTCTCTGTGTCTTCTGTATCCAAATTTCTCTCTTCTTATAAAAACACCATTGGATTAGGGGCCACTCTAACCCAATATGATCTCATCTTATTTTGATTACATGTATAAAAGATTTTATTTCCAAATAAGGTCACATTCACAGGTACTGGAAGTTAGGACTTGAACATTTCTTTGGGGGTGGGGGGGATATAATTCTATCCCACTACAAGTATTGTCCTTCAGCAATCCCAGCAGAAGCCCAAGGTAAAAAAGAGATTATATAAAAAAGATTTGTGGACATAAGTTTTGTTAATGGCATGAATCTCAATAATAGTAAAAAGAAACACTGCCAGCTTAAACTGAAAGGTACAGAGGCAGTACAAAATGAAAAGCGACCCTCTGGGCCCTCAAAATTCTACTGGCAAGAAGCAGGCTAAGAAAACTATGAAGTTGCAAATCTGGACTACTTTTTATGGAAAAGAATGACTCATAGGGTGGAATCAAGAGCCAGGAAGGAGGAAACAAGAGCTACAGAGAAGCATTCCTGGGTAGAAGTAGAACTAAGTCCTAATCAAGGAACGTCCAACACTTATCCAGACAAACATTAAAATAGCTACGCATCAGTGACTTCTTTGTGCCTTTCATCTTCTCCCTTTTTAAACAGAAATCTCTATACCTCTTTATTATACGCCTGTCCCATCACTATATGTTGGGTATATATGAGGGGTAGAAAACTTGCCTCTTTGGTTTATAGATCTCCACATCAAAAGGAATTATGTCTGAGGAACTACACGCAAAGAGCCTCATCCACACTTGGACTTAAGTAAATGACAACCACCTGGATTTCAAGTTGATGCTGTACAGGGACAAGACTTTTGGTGGGTATTGGGAGGAGGTGAATGTATTTTGCACATGGGAGAAATATAAGTAATTTCTGGCCAAAGGTTAAACTGTGGTAGTTTT